AGTAAGTTGAGGCAATCCTACCAAATTCAGAGTCCCTCAGTTCTGGGCACAAGGCCAGAGGCACTACAGGGAGTACTATCAGACTACATTTTTCAGTGTAAATACAACTTGATAAAATACAGAAATAGACGGTTTGTTGGTTATACTTTAGATAATTAATATATCATGGAGAAAACAGTGATGATTAATAATAATTTCCTAAAACCAAAATCAATGGAAATTGCATTAAACAGCATCTTTAAATCTGTTTGAAATGGAATATTTTTATTAAAAGTTAGTACTAACATGCTTATTGCAATTGCATCAAACTCCAGAAACCACAGCTCCGCTTCTCTCCACATAAAAGTTCCGAGTATTAATTCGTGAAGGTCCTCCCCAAAGCAACAGACCTCACTTTTTTACTTTTTAACACTGCAGATTCAGCAAGGCAGTATAGTATTGGTTAAATTTGTGAAGCTGTTTGTATGGCCAACGGGGCTAGTTATTCTTGCAGTTTTAACTAGCAACTCTACTTATGAGAAATGCAGAAAATTCAGTAGGGGGAAAAAAAAAAAAACCAAACAAACACAACCTTCACTTTCCTGACTTAGATTGTTTTGGTTTTACCTATTGTAATCATGAGTTCCTAAACTGACGCTCTTTCTCTATAGTTACAGTTTGCAGTAATATATTAATTTTCTACATACAACGTTACCTAAATTTTAACAATGTATCTGTGGCCAACTGCATGCGAGTCAGCGCTGCATAAGCTGTTTCCTCTTACATCAAAGAAGAGCATTTCAGAAAATATTTTGCCTGAATATGAGAGCTTGGAATAACCTCATCGCTTTGTTCCCCTCGGCTGATAATCCACAGTTAAGAAAACAGGAAGGACATTGAGGAGGGAGAAAACGTCCCCAAACAATGAAGGAACAGATTTCTCAGGACTGAAACAGGTAAAAATCTGAGTAAGATTTTTCTTTGCTTTTATCGTTTGTTCCTTAGAGGATAATGGTACTGAGTTTGTCTAATGAGGTTTATGTAGCATGAAAACTGTCTCGTTTAGTACTGCGGTTCTATGTTGACTACAGAACAATGAATGTTTTTGCAAAATGAAGCTACTGTATAAACATGTATTTATCATTAGAATAGAAAGAAAACCTCTTTAATATTTTTCCATGAAATAGACCTATGTCAGAACATTGATTTTTAGATCAAGGTTACAATTTAAATCTAGGTCTCTTCCCCTTCTATACAAAAAGCTCTGAACTTCAGAATATACTTATAAAATTTTTAAATTCAGTAATTTCAGCTGTAATTGACATTTTCCAACAGAACAAATTTTATTTAAGAAGTTTCAGCCAGCTTACCAGTTACTTTCCTTTCCATTTATAGAATAGATTATATTCATCTTACTGCTATATTTCCTTTCTAAATTATGAGGTCTTTCATATGCAATTCAAACTAGTATTTGTTTAAAAGTATTTGTAAAAATTACCAAAGAGTCACTGATGAATACATGCTGAAACAAAGAAAAATACTATTCTGCAAAGTCTGCAGGCAGTCAGCTTTGTTTCACATTTCTTCCCACAACAAAATTTAAAAGATAACAAAGAATCACATTTTATGACAAAGTTATTAAAAATATCAGTGTTTTTCCATAAAAAAAAGATACAGTCAAAATACAAGCATGATATATAATTTAAGTTTATAAACAGTAAATTAGGATGTTATAGTATTTTGAAGCAAGTCCCTTTTGCTATTTTCTTTTTTGAAGTTTTTAGGCTTACTGAACTTTGAGCTGGTTTGCAATACCTAAAATACTGACTGTAAAGTGCTTTTAGGAACACTTGTCCATTGCAAAGAAAGTAACAAGATTATTTAATGAACTCTTACTAAACAAAGCGTGGCTACAAAAAAAGATACTCAGTAACTGCACTCAGACTGAGAATTTTAAAATGCATGCTTAACACTGTCAAAAGAATCCAAAGTAGCCAGGCAGGAACAAGAGCATGCAAGTTGAGCAGCACCCTTTTGTATAGCAGGAATCCAGGAACTAAACCCAGCATACTATATTTAATATGCCAAATAAACAAATCCCTTTATCATGCAACTCGTAAGTGTTCATAAGTTTTCCAGATGGCTCAGAACTGACCAATTTTTTCTCTCTATTCTTTTATTCAAAATATACCTTGTGATCCTATCAGGAGCATATCTTCTGCTGAGTGGTGCAGCAGATAGCCAAAATCATTGGAAAACTGCAGAAAGGGGGCAGAGCTACACAAAAGAGAGAGGAGCAAATTTGGTAGTATCCTTTACATTTATTTCCATCTCTTTCTTTGAGATCATTATACTACGGAACTGAGTGGGGCGTAGCCATAAGGATGGGGTCAAGAATCCAAAGGGCTCCAAATATCTACAATTCTCTCTGAAAGACAACAGAGCTCAAGAAGCAATTTGCACCCTAAGTTCAGCTGGCCTGAGTGGGAGTAGTCAACCCTCTCGTGGTAACAGCCTTGAAGGCTGCCCGTGGACTAAGCAACAGCAGCAGCGGACACCTACACTGGAGGAAACGTAGGTGGACAGAAGTCCCTCCTCTTCCTCCGCCCAAGAACTCAGCCTTCTGTGTGACTTAGACTCCCAACTCTGCTGCCTTCCCCACAAGTGAGAGGTTCCTCAGCACAACAGCAACACCCAGCTAAAGGTCGTGCATTGACTGAGGTCAGGACTCCGCCCTCCATCCCCACATAATATCAAATGTTCATTTTGCTATGTCAGTATACCTGAGGGATATTTCTCTCTGTATACAAGTGCACATCACCAGACTTGTTAAGCATTATGAGAGCAGACATCAATTTATGTAGTGTTCATTGTCTTAAACCAAAAAGAACAGCCACATCGTACTCTTTGGGTGGAACAGTCACTGAAAAGATGGAATTTAATGCAGGAAAATGAAGACTTTCAGAAAGCTGTACTCACCCACACATGCCTAGAGCTTTACATCTTGATTCATGGAAGACCCCTACTGGTTAAACCCACAGAAAGAACTATATGGCATTTGACGTACTGCAAGTGCTGCCCCCATTTTATATGCACCATGTTATACCTGTGGGGTTTTTTTTCTTCTTTTTTACTTATGTCGACACATTAAAGCAATAGAAAAATACAAGAACAATGCAAAAAATCAACCAGAAAAGAACAGAGATGATTAAAACACTAGAGAAAAAAAAAAAAAGAAGAAAAATAGCAGAATAAACACTTCTATGGAGTACAGAAAAGTACTAAATACAGTACCTACATTAGGAGGGGTCAAATCTGCATTTCATGAAGCAAAATAGGAAAGCATTATAAATTATGAGTCAGATTTCAACAGACAATCTATGATGAAACTATAAAGAAATGAATGTCTTATATTTTATATAACACTACCGTGAGAAAAACTGTAAAACCACAGGATTTTATGGAAAAAAATAAAACAAGTTAACAGAAAAACACATTAACAACATCATCTTTTGGCTGAAATAACTATTTTGATGATTTAGATCTACATGACACCACAGGAATTATTTGGGGGCAAAGGAGAGTTGTCTACTTGCCTTTGAACAGATAACATTGGCATGATTCTCTATCTCCAAAACATATAGTACAAACAGTAAGTTAAATTTGGCCAGTATTTATCATTGTAAAATTGTAATCTACCATTCAGTGATTGTAACTTTTTACAAACTGTTTTAGCTGAGACTTTGATCTCATCTAAATATTTTAGGAAAGTTCAGAAAGTAGTTCAGCTGGTTTTTGCCATGCCAATGAAAACTCTTCTAAATTTGACCAAGTTTTCAGTATTTCGAATCACACCTGCAACTTTATGTTCAGAACAAAGAAGCTGAACTGAACATATTCCACCTCCACACAGCTCCTGTATACATTTCCAAGAGCATACATTTCTAACCAAATTGCAGCAAAGGAAGAGCAGGCCTTTCCTTCAAACATTTGTCCTGGATAGCAGGGACTGCAGTGACTAGGGATATCACAGCTGAAAAGGGAAGACTACCTCCTGTGCTCTGATACCTCTACCCCAGCTGGCACTCAGCTGAAACTAGAAGAGCAGAAAGCCTGAAACAGGAGTGGTCTGAGGGATACAAGATCTGTGACAGAGGGATGCAGCAGAGCAGACAAATTATGAAAAAAAGAGGAGCAAAGGAAGATGGACTCACCTAGATGGAAAGGAAACCTGATAGGAACAGTAAGAGGAAGGCAGGAGTAGGCAGTGCAGAGGAATGTGTGAACATTGCTGATGATTCTCCCGAGTGCGGCACCCCTGATTCTCACCATTCCTTTAAGATCAGTGAACAACTGTGAAATACACTGGCAGGAGCCATTTCATTATCCTAGATCAGCTGGTCCACAGAAAGGGTAATAGCCAAAGATTGCTACCAATTATCCCTTCATATCTAGCAGTAGGGATCTGAACTGTACAGCTAAAGTCCAAACTTGCTGATATGCTAGGATCTATATAGGTTGTTGATGCAATAGATTAATAGAGGTTGCTGATACAGAAGCCTTTTTTTTTTAATGTTTCCTGTTTTAAAAGGCAACAAACTAATACACACACACATATATATAAACACAATATGTGAAAAGTACTTTAAAAGACTATTAAAGTTGCAGAGTATAGCCTTGCAAATTAGGGAAAGCTAGAATTTGTGCATCAGCTGAAATATAAACAGTATGGAAAGAAGCACAGGAAACTGGAAAGGGAGTAAGAGGACAGTTTTTGCTAGTGCAAATTAATGATAGAAGGTTATTCAGGAATAGCCTTTGGTCAGGCTAGCACAAGTGAACAATATTCACAGTAACGGGGACTTCTACTGAGGCTTATACTGAAAGCTAGTGAGAAAGCTCTATATGCTGGTCTTAACACAGGCACCATCACACAGGGATCCTATACCACACCCTAGAAGGAATACTTAAATAGAAATCACTAATATTCTTATTTCCCGTATGCTTAGTAAGTTGAGTACCTTCTAGTAAATTGAGATCGTAAGATGAATTGTCAGGCTTGTGTAGGGCTGGATATGTGTTAAAGAGATTTGCAACAAAAGCCAAATTGAGTTTAGGGTTGCCTGCAACCACATCAGCTGGAGTTACAAACTGTCTGCAGCCCAATTTATCTGCCTGTTGCAGCATGTATTCAGCCCTCCTCAAGTCATTTTTATCCTAAAAGAAAAAAAATAACAACAATTAATTTGTAATGAATACTAGCATGTTTCCATTCTTTACTGAATCTTCAGTTTGGCAAATCTTTAAATGACCCATGTCAGTTCCTCCCTCATTCCCCTAATGCCTGAGCTAGCTCTTACAGCCCGTAACAATTCCCCTCTTCCCATCTTCCTTCCACTTTCTTTCTGTCCTTCACTTCTGTGGCTGCCTGCGCAGCATTCCTCATGAATCACAGCAATAGCAGTACCAGCCAGAGGTGTAGTGGTTATATTTCCGTTTCCAGGCTGTTGATTCCCGCACTGCATATTCTGCTACACGTGCCACAGGTTCACCATCACTGCTTTAAACTGATATTTTCAAGCATAGTAATTACAGATGATGCCCAAAACCCTCAAAAAGAGCTTGAATGCTTCAGGACGTGATAATTCACTACCTTGCTTTCCTTTTAATATTTTTGCCTCTGAATTATCTTAAGTTGGTAATCTGTTGTTATTTTGTTTATTCGTCCTTCTTATTAATCTACATAGAATAAATCAGTCTTCAAAACCGCGTAGCGTATACTTTTTGCCTCTAATCTTCACAACACTAAGAGTTACTATTTATAGGGAAATGAGTTAGTAATTGAATTACTGTTAGAATTGAATAACAGTCAGTAATTCAGCGGTGGTACATTTAACCAGAAACTTGCTCTAGAACAAGTTGTTACATGTTGTTGATACTGGTTTATAACCCATTACAGAACATGATCATATGAATTGTAGGAAATTACAGGGAAAAAATTTTTCCTTTCTCGCTCCCAAAAAAACCCCAAAACAAAAGCAAACATAAAACAGAGCTCTCCTCATGAAGGAGTTTGAGAGGACTAAACCTTGCAAGCGAACATAATTTTGCATGTGGGCTTTTTCATTATTATAATGAATAACGAGATTCTACTCAAGATTCTGATTGATATATAGATATCTATATCTTAGACATGCAGTTCAATTTTTTATCAAACACATTCTCAGAATAATCCTTCCAACGAGCATTATGTAGCAGCTTAGAGAAAAGGGTTTTCACATCTACCTAGGCTAATTTTAGACCCTCTATCCCTTTACAACTTAAAAGCTTGATGATTGCCACACTTTCCTTCTGGTTATCGGAAGGGCTCGCATGTTATTTCTGAACACTATTTGGTTTGAGGAAGGATCACAGGGTTTGTGAAGTCTACTGTTTCTCCTTGTCCGAATTCCAGAAGAGCAGAACTGAAGCAGGATGTTGTAATATTCATGTTGGAGGACTCAAATGAAAGTAAAAAACAGTTAGACACTACTCCAAGTAAAACATAGCTCCAGATTTTAGACTGCAGGATGCATTATCCTGTTTCAGCAGTGCCCTGGAATTTTACTCAAGTTTTTACCCATTTAAGCTTTTGTGACACTGAGGAATCTGACTGAACTTTTGTATGTGTTACAAAACAAAAGGGGATTCTGGGACAGCCTTGTAACCAGGATGTTGGATACATACACAGAGGTCTCGGATAATTTCAGTGTATTTTTATGTTTCTGGATACTTACATGAAATCCTGAAAAGTCAATTTTAATGGGCAATTCATCTCCTTTAGGTGCAATTTGATTTAACAGATGGTAGTATGCTCTTGAATCCTAAAACAAGCAGTGTAATATTTTTAAGAAGTACGAGCAAGTATGTAATGCAGAGGTAATTGGAATTAAAAATGGAGAGCAAAGTGGCCCTTTTAGGATGAATCTATAGTGACAAAAGAAATTATATTTATTTGACGCAGTTTTCAGTGTGCTTCTGGTTTTTTCCCCACTAAGAAACTAGGAAAATAAAACAAAAACCTGCTAGTTTTATAAGTGTTTAATACTTCTCTTAAATAGCATGCAGTATTTTTACCACAGTAGCAGTTCTCACATAAAACCTTAGTTAAAGGTTTGCTTTAATAATAGCCTTCTTGGTGGCATTTGAAAAGGTATAACTAGCAATTAATGACATGGTTTTCTTCAATGAAAAGAGGTCTTATCACATTAGGGAATCTTGCTCCTTTGCTTTTAGTTTTAAAAAGTTGGGTTTTTCTCTCTTCAACTGGACTTACTACAGTACTCTGCATATCATATGCAGAATGACTGGAAAAGACAGAAGAATTATGCAGATCTGCCGTCTGCCCCAAGGAACCAACATGCCCTTCAGTCCCTTTGTGTCAGTAAATCGGCACACCAGCAAAGCACAGTGATTGAGTGGGGCTGCTCTCTCCTTGGATCAAGAATCAGTAGCTACTCCAGACAGCCCTCCGAATAACTGTCCTTTCCTCAAGAGGTTCCCTACTCTTCTGTAGAATGCTAGGTACAAAGGGCAATCACTATTAGCAAATATGAACTGGGAGGAGATTTAAAGCCATCCACTTCTTCCTTAAAACAACAAAAGAAAGAGTGCAAATTGTCCTAAGTAACTATAATAACAATCTTAGAACATTAGAACTTCCCTGAGTATGAGCTTGTCGGAAATGTTTGCTTTACACTGTGATACGATAATATATAGTATGAGCAACTGAATAGGGTATGAGAGATCAAAATAACGCTCTTTCAGTGTTGAAAAATGCAGGATGAATAGGATACGAAGGATCAAAATAATGCTCTTTCAGTGTTGAAAAATGCAGGATAGCTAGAAAAAGCAGATGACTACTATTTTTCTAAATACTTCTGATCTGGCTCATTTGTTTCTATGCATAGTGTGTTTAAATACCATTATGTTCAATTATCACAGCAATAACTACATACCTTAACGTCTTGGCTGAAGTTACTGATTTTCTGCCAGCCTGCATTGGCCAGATGGTAGTTCACCCAGCGTAGCAAGAGCTCTTCTGGGGAAAGCTTCATTAACTGATCTAGTTCTTCCCCTTCATTTAGCAAGGCAATAAGAGCTAAAAGCAAGTTTGAAAGAAAGCTGAAATCATTACCATTGTGACCTCAGTTAATTCCAAATTGCGGACATTGCCATACCTGGCATTACTCTTACCTTCATTTCTGGAGATCTCAATATCAGCGAAAAGACCAACTTTGATGATCTGCCACAAAAGTCCTAATACCAAGTGTGGTTTTCCTTCTTGCAAATCTTGTGATCCGATATTGACAACCGTACAGCCAATAGCAGATGCTGAGTTCAGAGCCAGGTTTAGGTTTTCCTATTTGGAATATCATTGTTTAACAAATTTATGAGGTTGTAATTCTTAGTAAATTTTTTCATAGTAAATTTTGTAAGTTTCAGTTATAAGAAGTTACAAGAAATAACTTAGTTATTATAACAATAGTTCAATGGTTCCCAGTGGAAAATGGCACCCTGGAGATTTTTTGTGAACTACCACGTATCTTATCAAAATTTAATGGAAAACATTATTGACAGTGTTTAGTATGGACCCACCAAAAATCATGGACCACCTTCTGTAGATTGGATCGCCGAGGAATACTCTATTTTAAATATTTTTTGTAACTCATAAGTACATAAATTAAACAATATCACTCAAAATATCAGGGGCTTGATTCTGTGGGAAAACGTACTCATATGGAATTCTGCCCTGTGCAGGAGGCTACTGACATCACTGTCATCCCATCTTGGATCTTATACAGGCTGACACATTTATTCAAGCAACTGTTAAACTGTAATTGAACAGACAATATAAGAAAATCATGGCAATTCAACATCCTGACACTGAAAGTAAAGCTAATGATTTTCACAGATGAAACATTCCAAGAAAAAATACCTGACAGCTCTCGTAAATATTACGCTCTATTTTCTTGTGTCATATTTTAACTATCTACAGAGGCAACATAAACACATGTAGTATCATCTTTGCTGACACATCTTCTTTAACTAAGTAGACATTACAAAACTTGGAGGACTTAGAACATGGTATGTTTTAACTTTTCATATTTTAATCTCACAGCCTGAAATGAAAAGTCTGCCAGTTAACTGAGGTTTTTAATCAGGATTTTTTTTTTTTCTCATTAGGCAGGTAACTTATGGACCTACTTCCCTCTTCCAGACCTGTTTTCTTATACTGAAACTCAGGTCTTAAAAACTCTTTCTCTCAAATATTTTCATGACTTCAGATCTTCTCATCTTCTGCTCAAGCCACTCTCCACTATTGAAAATGCATCATCCCACTGTACAGTATACAGCCATGCAGATACTTTCTGCATTGCTAAAATACGACCTGACCACCCACTCAGAAGTCTAAAATTATTTTCTTCAGATACTTAGTAAAGCAAAATGAGAATAATGAATAGGGAAA